TGAGCTAAATCCCCGGCCCTTGGTTTTTTTTTTTTTTTTTGGTACCAGAGATCGAACTTGGGTCCTTGCGCTTCCGCAGCAGGCAGCGAAACCACTGAGCTAAATCCCCGGCCCACTAATGGCATTTTTAAGAACCATTAATTAATATAAAACATGAACTGAAACCAACTGGATGAGGTGTTAAGTCACGGTTTTACTGTATAATGCAGGCTTTCTCAGATCCTATCACTTAGCTGGCTATCTGCTCTTCTGTCTCTGTAAACTCCTGTTGTCAGGTTACAGTGACACTACACTTTCCAATCTTTCATAAGTAGAATTCTCACAACTATATTATAAACTAATAGGATATCTAGTCCTGTCAAATGTACTTAAATTCAGGAATGCAGATATGTTACACTAACTTCTTAGAAAAACTGATCATGGCGTTGCGGCTTTCACAGCTTCCTGGTATTCTGCATTGTGCCCTACATGAAAGACAATCAGTCACTTTGGACTCCTGTAGCACTTCCTCATTATTGAGCCACATTGTGGTATGTTCCTTACACAGACGGAAATTTTTCGTAGGTTCCTAGCATTCCCTTTTATCTTATTATACTCACTATATATACAATTGGATTCAAGGCTTTTTCATTGGCAAGAACTTCCTAAATCACTAAACTCCCAAGAATTCCAGAGTATTAAATTTTGAAGGCTTCTTAGATTAAGATTTTCTAGCTCCTTCATAACATATCAGGTTAGAATAATTATTATTATTTCTTAATTATCAACTGAGTGCTATGTGTATTATACATTCTTATTTATTCATCACGTTTCCCTGCCAGGTACTGTGATATACTAATTTCATGATAAGAAACATCAGGAACTTGTTCAAAATACTTGGACTCAGTTATATGTCATTCCAAAGCTTGCTCTTCATATTGTGTGTGAGAGGGTATTAAAAAGCACACCAAGTTCTTGAACTTTTTAAAAAAGGCCACCCATTCTCCTCACTTGGGCAATGACAATGAATGAATATCTGTTAAAAATGGCGTGCACATTATATACATTCTTAATGGGATATGAGGGGCATAATATATAACAGCAAATTTTAGAGTTTTCAAGATACCCAGGGTTAAACAATTTGACTTCACTGTCTGTGTCTAATGTTTAGGCATAAACACTCTGCTGAGGGTATATGTGTATATGGTAATATCATGAATCTGTTAGCCATTAAATGAGATAAGGCCTTTGGCCATCTCTGAACATGTGTAATGGTGGATTGCTGTTACTTACGCAATACATGGCCTTTGGATTGCCTTGTAAGGCAGTGCTGACTAACATGATCATTTCAAAAGGTAATAATATGCAACACCTCTGATAATATATAATATTTGTCCACAAATTTAATTATGTATAATAGATAATTATTTAATTATCTATACAAAGGTCCAGAAAACTAGCTTTTAAAGGGAGAAAAAATTTTTTGTATGGGATCAGTAAAGACAACATGAAATGCATTATGTAATTGATATTCAGAACTTTATGCTCATTTGATATTGGATCTCAAGGAAAACGTAGCAATCCATTGATTATCCAATTTAATTTATCCAATTTAAAGTGTGGCAGGTGCTCATGTATTTTCTTTGTATTGTACTTCCACTTCTCTCCTTTTCTCTTCATGTTTCTCTCTACCATAAATTTGAATAAATTTGAATACATCTCTAAAAATGCAACATCATTTTGAAACTGTGAAGTGTTATCAAGAAAGTACCTGAAACACTGGGATCAAGCTGGGATTAAAATGGTACCCTCCAACTCCTTCCCTGATTCCTGACCGCAGTTCACACCTGAAGACGAAGCCCCAGAAAGGTGATGTGGGCTCTCTGTCCACGGTGGGACTTGTGCACTATCAGTCTCAACCTAACGGGGCCAACAGGCACGCACTTTCCAGACTCTCCACAAATGCCACTATTTGTGGTATTTTTTTCTTACAGGTAATTCTATTTTTCTTGAGAAAGATATGCATCTGCCTCCTAATGTTCTAGCATAGGCAGGAAACAAGAGCTGAAGGTCTTAGTAATTCATTTATAGACCTTCATTCAGGGTTGCTGGTTGACAGATATTCTTCCCCTTCTCTACCTAATATCTTGGTATCTGTATTGCATGGAGAGAGAAGTAAACTATACCGAGAAAGGGTGAGCTTATGTGTATCCTTGTGCATATGTGTAGGTTATACACACATTCATATAATCCCCCACCATTTTCAGAAATCACCCATCTTCCA